GCTCAATTTTATGACTCTTTCACAGCTCAGCAAATCCGTACATTTAATTTCAGAGGACGGACAAAGAAATCCTGTGCCGAATGGCATTTGAGTGGGGCATATATCGAAGAGTTGAAGGTATACAGGACAACATAAAGAAAACGGAACGAAAAAGGTAGTCGATTTGCACGCAGCCGAGTTATACATGCAAATCACTTTTTTACAGAGGTGGAGGCAGTTGGCGAAATTGGATGAGCGACTCAACTCGGAATGCAATCATGCTCCATGGCTCGGGTTTGTTGGTTGGAAATGTTATCAAGATTACGTACGATGCGCCTCACAGAGGAGGCAAGTCGGTCTCTGATAAAATTCTATTTGCCATCACAAATATGTACCTGTGCCCGAAACATTATTCCCGAATCCTTTTTCTGCAAAATTGGAATTCCAGATTGCAGACCAGACCTCGAATGACTTTGAGATCAGAGTTAACAAATACTTTAAAGTATCAAAAATTCTTTATTTTTAAGTGATGTAAATAAGGATATAATGATAAAATGTGTATATATAAGGATAAAATTGTATTTTTGCACACGCAGGTACGAAACAAGCATCACAATTACATGCGAACTTACTTATGAAGACAATTCCATAAAAAGTTAAGCGGTTAGTGCATGGTTATGTACATACATACATATATGTGCATATTTCATATTTATACCTATGCAAATATGTATGTATGCATAAACTAAAAAGCGTTGCAGCAAAGATAACTTGTACCCTGTAAAAACTTGTGTATAAGGGTTTATCGTTGAGTATATTTGTGTGTACATAGGTATGTACGCAAGTAAGCTTGCCCCTATAGTTCTGTAGGAGCCAGTAATGCGTTCTTCTGAGTAAAGACTCGTAAAAAGTTTAAAAGTTCTTTGGGAACTTGTTTGATTAAACGTGGATCCCCAAACATGCAGAGAGTATGATTTAATAGATTTAACCATTTATCTCCCTGGCTCGCCATTACAGAACTTTGATGTGCGGCCTTTCTTTATATCAAAGTTTTATTTATTTGAGTTGTCTGTCAAAATTAAGTCGACGGTTAGACAATTAAACTTTTTTCTTGGTGCTCTTTGACCAATCATCAACATTATGGGTAATTATACACAGACATGTATATGAGCTGGTGTGTACTCGCAAGTGTGCTTAACATCACAAAAACTGACCAATGTAATAAATATACTTATTTGATGTAGAGATATGAAAAATGAGAAAATCTTTGAAAAAAACTGTATTTTTAGTGATACTGCAATCTACAAATATTCACCTACATACAGCACATGTAAAAAGTAGATATGGCCAAAGATATTGTGAATTATGAATAAAAAAGAAGAGCACAATACACATAATAAACAATAATAGCAGCACATCACGTCGTATCAGTGCGGAGAGTGTTCATGTTCACGAAATGCAAGCCAAGCGAAAATTTAGTGAATTGTGCAGTGTAAATTTTTTTCTTGTGGATGTTTAAAGCGAGTCAGAGCAGCTTTCAATTTTTAAGACTGAATAAAATTTCAATGTCTGGTTTGCAAGATTCGAGTTTGTTGGCCTTTTGTGGTTTCGTTTTACAATTTACTACAACACAACTTATTTATTTTCTTGATTACTTACAAGCTGGCTTGGCGTTTGGATAAAAGGAAGATACTAAACTGACGGTGGTTGGTGTACACGTAAATACACATAGCCTCACATCCGGAATGAATTACATTAGGTTCTCATCGACTTTGACACGGACGGACTCGCGACTTAAGTTGAAGATTAATGTCAAAACATGATAAATTCCAATTGCCAATTTTTCTTCTTTGCAAGCTCCCCGTTAAGGCATTGTTTGAAGTTGGGGTTGTGAACGTCAATTCATTCCACAATCGTCGTCGTCGTCGTCGGGGACTGCACAATGCCAACAGCTAAATGTGTAGTCCCTACCTTTTATTTTTACCTTTACTTAAATACTTTATGTGCATACATACTGCATCGCCAGCACTGTGGTGCGGACTCTCTGCTGCTATCCCGTCATACAAATCATGGCTAGGTTACAAAAGCGCATAAAGACGAAATGACAAATAAAAAGCGTAAAAGTGACCACGCTCTCCAAAAAATTCACACTCTGTGGATGCAAAGCAAAAATCGAAATGAGAGAGCGTAGTGCTTGTTAAACTGACTGCTGTATTTTTCTTGAAATTCGCTGATTTCGCCCTTTTTGTCAGTCGTCTTGATACCATGTGACTTTATGCCGTATGTTTATTTTATACGACTGAAATAGCTTATAATATGTACGCACATATCCAGTATTAAATATTTGGTATTTTTTTTAATACCACAAAATATAAAAGACGAGACATTTACAGGAAACCATGAGAAGTGGGTCTATGAAAATGGAATTCAGATGGTCTAATAAGTAAAATAAAAAATCAATACAACCCAACAAAATATTTATTGCCCACTGACAGCCGTATTTCTCATGCCAAGTAACTACTTGACATAATTTAGGGTAATAATATTGCGCACCACATTACATAAACTTATTTCGAGCGATTTATGTAGAGTTTCATGTACAATTTGAAAATTTAAATATGCACGTGAATTGGATAACAAAATATGACAAGATTGCAGCGAACTGTAAAAACTTTCTTTAAAGCTATAAAAAACAAGGCCTTTGATGAAACTGCGCAATCACTGTTCATGAAAGCCCCGTCTACCTACGTGTCTCTGCTTGAAGAGAGTCTCTCTCATCTCATGACAAACCACTGCAATAATTTATTTAGCTCCTACCTCTTGACATAGGTGTAGAGATTTCCTCGCCGTGTCTTATGTTGTCACTCATCCACTGTCTCAAACATCTCAGATTGATGATGTTTGATCCTGCCCTTTTGCCTGCTGATGGAAAATGGAAACAGAGCATTATTATTATAGCTGGTGGTGCTGGTGGTGGGAGGCAGCCTAGGCAGTTGGTTTTGTTGGAGGGTTGGTTGGGGTGACTGCTTAGGAAAGTATTGAAGTATGCGCCTGGAATACCAAAACTTAGCAATACAGAGTTAAGACTGAGGAGGAAAGAAAAGTATCAACTTGGAAATTCTGGTGGTTCACGTGGTAAGAAGTCCTCTCGTCCTATACATATTTGCTCAGTTTCCGCAGTCGAGGTTAGCTGACTGGGAGAGAAATGGGAAACTCGGAGGAGGAAATATGTGTAGCAGGGACGTAAAGTGAGCTCGGTTTTTAGGAAGAAAAGGGAGCAAATGCATTGAGATGAGGATAAGACCAATAAAAGACTCGTTGCTCGGTGTCTCTCTCTCTCTGGTCTTATGTAGAATATGCAGTACGAAAGACTAAGGAAGCAGGCAGGGAAGTCTGCGAGGAGGAGATGAGTGTGATCTGATATTATATTGCTGGCTGGTTGGCAAGAAGGCTTTCAGAGATGAGAGTTGAACATCTTGTACGGATCCAAAGCCGAAGTTCACCTCCTGTGTCTTCTTGTGTTCTTTCCTCCTAAATCTGAATTCCGAGTCTCGGGCTCTTATTCATTTTATCATCATGGACCTGCTCGCTCTCTCTCCGCCGTCTCCACGGCTCAGTGAATATCCTCTCTAAACTCTTTTCTTCAATCTTCCATATTCCACATGAATGATGGGATGTGGGCCATGCAAATATTCCTCCCAATGCCTCCACGTTTCAATTAAAGTCTCCTCCATTTTCACTACTTTATCTGTCCGACGGACCAATTCTCATCACTTTTGCTTGGCACTTTTTTAACAACTACTAACTAACTAACGAACTAACTAATAACAATAAGTATACGTACCAAATTATAATATAAAATATGACCAAATAATTGCACCAATAATTATGGGAGGTTATACCCAACCACATTTGCTGAAATGTCTGTTTATGCTTTATAAATATTCATTTCAGAATTAAATTAGCATCACTAAACTACTACGCATTGTTCAAGATTTGCGACCTCGGCGTAAAAGTTGAGATATGCAATTCTTTTCTACATTCTATTCTATCCATTGAATTATACACAGCAGATTCCAGGAGAGACACATGATTGGAAATTTATTTAATGACACTGGCCTTGCTATCCATCCAGTATTTAATTCTCTGAAAAGAGAATATGTACATAAAACAAAAAAGTTTCAAGTGTGCATTTCAACGTTATTCCTATTCTATGATTTCAACATTCGATATACATGAGCGTCATACATAATCCAAACGTTTTGTGTGTGGCATATGCCAATATTTGATTAATATTCATGCAGCTTGCCAGTTTAGACTGAAACATGTCGCACTCCTCCTCGCCTTATCCTGTACATTGTGAGTGGTGCAGCGGAATTATGATCTTATAATAAGCCTACAATAAATGAACTAATGAATAGCCATCAACAGAGCTCATTAAAAAATTAGAGTCATAGAGCGACAGAGAGAGAGAGAAGGGTAAAAAGTAACACAGAAGCTAAAGCCCAATCCAAGCAAATCCCACAAACAAAAACAAGTCCAAGTAACTAAAGCAAGAGATCTCGATACTCACGAACACTAACTAAAACACAGCATAAAACAACACCAATGTTATACCACCAAGCAGAGTGAAGGTGATGGTAGTAGGGCTTCTTTTTTGGTCGAGTAACTGGTAAGGCAAAGATCTCTAAAAACTCTAAAAACTTAAAGGGTGAATGGAAACGGTCGCTCTCACCATCACACACAAAACTAAATACTAATTCAACCAGCAGCAGCAGCAAAACTCCTCACTTAACAGATTTCAATGTGTTGTTGGATGGACGTACGTATGTGTGGCTGCATAAGTCGGATGGGTATATGGACTAACCATGAGTTGGTGTGTTGTTGGTTCTTTAACAAAGTTGCGTGAAGAATTGCATGACGGATTGCATGGGGCAGGGTATACCGTTGGCCACAGAAGTGGCGAGTATACCAGCAGCAGGGTTTTCCTCGCAGTAGAAAGTAGTTTACCCTCAGTCGAAAAACAGGTCTCGGAGGGGAAGGTCGTGTCGCTCGCATTTCTGTTGTCGCCATAAAAAGACTTTGGAAGGAAGATATCGTGTTGCGGTGGTGGTAAGAGCACGCACTCTGTATCAACCACCACTACTTTGTCGCAACGACTCCCATTTCATAACACCAATCTCATCAACCAATGTCACAGTGGAGCAGTTCTGGGGCTGACTGATTTTCACAACAACTGCTCATAAGTGCAGGGTCAAAACTATTTTGTGACACTGACTCGCCTTGGTTTTATTACTTTACATTGTTACATAATATCAGTAAGCAATTTATTAAAGCGTGCAACATTTTGGTGAAAATTTTAAAAAAAGTTGACTTATCTATCAACTTGTTTTTTCGTGAACATATCGTTTGAAAAACGGTTCTTGCAAAAAGGAGTGAAATTGATTTGAAAAAAATTAATTTGTTGACGTTAAATATTTAATCGGTGTTGTGGTGAAAGTAAAAAAAAACTTGACAAGGATCTCATCTTAATCGGATCTAATATACAAGGTTTGTACTGAATTTTGACAATTTGTTAATTTGAGGCGTTTCGTATTGAGGTTACAATCTAATTAATGTGGTTTCACACCATTGTCAACACATACGTACCAAATTTTTTGCTCACTTTAATTTCATGCAACAAGCAAATATTTACATACTCAAGTACCAACCATCACATTTCTTGTTCAGCTTTGAAAATTTTACATTTTACGTATGCATACTTTTAAATTGATACATATTTATTCAAAGCTTTATAAACTTGGATTATTACGCACGTCGCGTGGGGTATCAATTTGTGATGCACAGAGGATAATATTTTATTTGTGAAATATCTTTGCCGTCGTCGCAGTTGTACAGAAGACATACTTCGTCACACAATGGATTATTTTCCTTCGTTCGTAGGAGCTGCGTGCGTTGTGTATGTGTCGTTGTCGTCGTCGTCGTCGTAGTAAATAGTTCTTTTGTTCCGGAAGAGTTTTGTGGCCATTATTTTTGCCATTGTTTGAAAGAATTGTGTTGTGTTGACTGACTTGATCTAAAAATCTTTGGATCTGTGGATCAACTGTTGTTCTTTGTTGTTTATTTTATTTTATCACTTCCTTCAGTTTGAACTGCACTTCTCAGTTTGAGTCACAATTGATGCGATGCGATGTGGGCATGAAATTGTATTTACTGCTATATCCTCCTCTCTCCGCCTAATTGCCACCTTTTCATCTTCTCCTTTCATATTTGACTGAGCATACATAAGTACATACGTAAGTAGTACATATTATGCATGTTGATTGAGCACCTCCTCCTCCCTTGAAATCTCCTCGTTGTGCAACACACTGTAATTTTTTGTGTAAATTTGGTATGCATTTTGTTTTGTTTTCATGTCCATCACATGAGATTAGGAGTCGTGATGTGATTATTGTGATGCGATGATGATATTCATACCCTGTTGTCTGTCTCTCTCTCGTCTCGAGCTATGCACTCAATTCAATTTAGTTAAATTGAAACAAATAGATATAACGGGAAGGAGGGAGTAGAGCGAGGAGAGAGAGTGCATGCGGGGTTGTTGAGTTGAGGAGAGAATCATCATCAGCCTACTTGACTCTTGGTTTTGACATTTGTCTGTCTCGGATTCCCGTCTTCTTCTTCTTCGTCTTCACTTCCTTCCTGTGCTTTTTGTGCAAACGGCTTCTTCTTCTCTCTCGGTGGAGATGGAATGAAAATGGAAATTGTTGCGGCTCAGACTATGCATGCACGTACCACTAGAAAGCATTTCTTTTAAATCTATGAGAATTTCAAAGTTTGAAAACCAAACCTGACGACTTGTCAAAAGTGATATTGTTAAGTGTTGACTTGACGCTTGTCATTCATGGTTTTGTTTCATTCAGTGCAGACTCTTCCAATTCTTGATTTGATAAAAAGCCTTACATAATTTCCTACCACTGAACCATGTCGCTCAGCAGCGGTGTGTTATATAATAAGTCGAGTTGGTGCTTTTCTCAGTCAGTGGCAAACTTATGCAATGAATTGCCACCGTGTTGATGAGGGCGATTGATTATAATCAACATTTTGTATTCCGTTGACGTACGTTGTATAAACTGCCGTTGGCGATACTGTATTATCCATATTTTTAGGGACGCTTAGGCACTCGTAAGAATTAGCATACTGTCATGTAAAATCACAAAAATATTTTAGTGGTGGACCAGAAGGACAAAGTACAACGTTGAAACGTGTTGTTATAAAGGAGAGGGTGGTGCTGGGTGTTATCTGATGTGAGATAATACGTAATTAGTCCACCAAGTGTTAAATGGGAACCTTCCCTTTACAGGCAAACGTCGTGGTGGTGGTGAGGTTGGGCTTAAGTAAGTACTTGTTGTGTTGCACGAAAATTGTATCCTATGTATTCATCTAGTACATAAATGTATATACTTTGTTGCATTATTGTGCATACGGTGTTGAACAAGTGCTCCTTATTTCGTATTTTTCCTAATTCCTGTTCAAACTTTACTGCACTGCATGCATTTATTACGACGACTACTTTGTATGTGTATAAAAGACTGAACCTATTTGCTTAGTGAGTCAATATCCTGAATAAAATCTACACTGCTGGAATACTGTCACTTGAAAAATTAATGATCATAACCCCACCATGCAAATTTGAATAATGAACATTCCGTTCTACTCTCGAATTATCGTTGTCTTATCAGTGATCAGGAAATTATTTATTTTGCTGGAAAGGGTAGTTGCCTGCCACCACCCCCGACAAAACTCGTATTGTAAGCTATTATTTCAGCTTGATTTAACTTGGTAATGGGTTTCATACACAGAAAAGTTGTGCCTTGCTGCCCACCATTATTCTGAGCATGCTGCATGGTACGAGTGAGTGAGTCAACCAAGGCTTCGGAGAATTATGGTGTTTCATGAGCACAGCCTTTGACACGAAATGAGATTTTATTGTTTATGAGTGTCGTCGTCGTAATGCGCACTCTGAAACACGGCGTTAATCTTTTGCTGTTCATAAATGATGATGAACTTTCATTTTTAACCACTTACAGATCCTTCATCATCTTCGCCTCAAGATCAATTAATCAAAGAGTCAACAAACGAACAAACAAACTCACCACCACTTTGCCCCGAGTTGAAGTGCTATTCAGCCATAATAAGCTCATAAGTCCCTGAAGCTGGGATAAACAGTGGAAGGAGAAAAACACATCATATTGTGAAATCTGGTGGTCGTGTTCTTCATACAAAAGTTGTAGGTTATATGAACATACGGAAAAATCTACTCTGTATCTATCTAGCCATTCTTCTAAAGGACATCCAATAATTCAATCGCCATCTCAATCGCCACCGCCGCCGCCGCCAACACCACACGAGCAGAACCAGAAGCTCGACAGTAATAACAATAATAATACAAGTGCCTGCATACAACTATTATTGGACAAAGGGCGAGAGGAGACTGGAGTGTTACATCTGTATCTCAGCCAGAAGGAGCAGTGTCGGTCCGTGTGTATCCATTCCACATCAACAACCATCCACCGCAACCAGGAGCATCTTGCTGTAGGCACAATTGCTTCTTCTTCTCGCGTCGACTAATAAGTCCAGCAGCAGCGGAGGCAGTTTGGGAAACTTTCCCCGGAGATTTTCCTCTCAGAGCTTTCCTGGTGTTGGATTGGACCAGGATCAACAGCACTCTGGGAATAGTGCCACTAATTGTAATCAGATCAACATGTCTAGTGTGTCTAGTGGAGTGTCCTCTTCCTCCATTTTCGGGGGACTGTGTTCCGGCAATAGTCGAAGACCCTCAATGTTCACAGCCAAGTATCGCATGAGGGAGGAACGAAAAAAGGTACAAACCAACTCTTTCATATATATTTTGCCCATTTGTTCTCAGCCTAAACTAGCCAAAAGGTCATTGTTTTTTAACTCTGAACGCAAACTTTTATTTTAACGACGAAAAACATTTTTATGACGAGATAAAGAGATAGCGACGCCTTTAAATAATATATGCACATATTGTTCAGAGAAAGCACTAGTTGTTGCAAATTAATGGCATGCTATGCTACATATACAGCTAGGCTTGAACTTAAAAAAAGTGTATTATGGATTTTGTTGAGTGAGACGCCTTTGAGAAGATGTCACCCATTTTTACAGTCGGTGCAGTGTCGTCCTGCATTGGGTAAAAATCCACGGCAAGATTGTTCAACACGGCTTAACGACATTCCATAAAACAACTCAGTTGTGTGGTGAATTTTACCAGCATTGGTTTTCTGTACTCGTACATATCTTCCTGCCTGTTGACGCTGAATGGATAGTTCGGTTCAGCGATGAAATAATGAATCCTTCCACTTACTTACCACAAAAAAGCGTGTTTACCGTTGTCCAAGGTTGTTCAACGTGTTTGGTCACATGTTCATTTTTCTCTCGGAATAAGAAAGACTGTTGCCACCCTGGCATCTTCACAATTTCAAGTACCACATAACACCAATAATGCTACACTGTTCTCTCATCATTAAGCAAACTAATTTAATCTGATCGATTATACTGAAACGTGTTGGAAGAATTTTTAAGTTTACATAATTCAGTTTAAACCACATGTATTTTTTTATAAACGAGCGATAGTTTTCATATGTGCATACAAATTGAAATGCAAGTAAACACTTGTGCATGCATGTGTACCTGATCTACGAGCAAGGTTCATTGAAAATGAGTTCATGCAACGTTACGTTTGCGTTGTTTAATTTGTGTTGCGACTTTGTCTGATGGTATCCCTAATAACTTGACGCGGCTATTGTTATCTCGTTAAGCGATGAGAAGTTGCACAACACGAAGCAAGTCTACTATTTAGCTATGTACATAAATACAATGCATGCAAAGTAGCGAGGTATACATATTTAGAATGTAAAAGTTTGAGCGCCTGCTGCCTCAAACTGTAGAATATTTGTAGCCTGTGCTATTGAATATAATTCGTTACGTGTTGAATAATAACATCGTGCCCTGCAACATTGTCTAACATTGGAAATCTTGAAACAGTGTAAGGTCAATTAATGTTATATATTTACGAATTTATCACACCTTGTACTTTTGAGATATAATTTGTAATTAGGGATTGAGGGTAATATCGTTTAGAATTTTACTCGTGACGAGTTTCAGGTTTTAGCAAATATTGAGATAATTGTCTTAAATATATAAATTGCGATTTTGTAATAGTAAATCATACTAAAAGAGCTAGCCGCAGAAAAGAAGAGGAAAAAGAAGCAGACAGACTTGTGTAGAGAGCTGAATGAACAATAAATCAAGGAAGTCATTTTTTATTCCAACTTGTCTTGAGTCTTGGCTTCAAAAGTTGCTTCATATTGTTCTCCTCGGCCACTGTTGTACTGTTCCATCATTTGCCAATGTTACGAGCCTAATGCAATTTACGACTAGACAAAAGGCAAGAATTCATGTTGATTGGGGTAGTTTGACTCAAATGTTGTACAACAGTAAATACATTAGTCGTCGGTAAATGCAACTGCAGCGAGCCATCCACTTTGAATTGACAGAGTGCAAATTACTTGAGACTGCGACCGACCATCGCGTAAAATCTTGGTTACATTTTTATCTTTTAGCTCACGACGTCTTTATACACGGCAGTAATGAAACAAACCCAACCCAACAAATGCATACCCAATTTACAGACACTACACACACGGTCAGATTTGTATGCCAACTGAAATTAAATTCAGTTTATCAGTAAACAAGTTGTTCACACATTTTAGTTAAATTTATCTACTGGATTCCATCGATTATAGAGTTTTCTTGTCATTACTGCTATTAGTTGTACGACATTTGCTGTGCGCATTAGAATGTGCTTGGTAAATAAATAAATGGCACAGAAGGATACAAATTACCCGTCTTTGTAGTCAAGATAAGAAACGACGCGTAATTTGCTGACGTCATTGCCGTCTTCAAGCAAAAGTTTTTTGTCCATTTATATTACTTGTAGATCCGGCCAAGGCCTTCTTCATATTTCATACCTTCCGAATAGAGTACACTGTGTAGCAAAAGGCTCACGAAATGCGTCTCCACACATATTTACACATGGATTCACGGGTGATTGCATTTCTTAATTTCCCCTCTTGAGATATGGCGATTTGCACCAGTAACTTCATTAGATAAGCTCCGAGCCGGTATGTTTGGTGCGACAGGACATAAAAGTGTGATGTTTTAAACCATTGATTATTATTTTCATGCTTCTTTAGCACGTTCGTGCGTGGATGAGCGGATATGTCTAAAAATATGTGGCGAGTAAAAAGCAGCGATCGATTCCAAGTATGAAACTACAAATTTTATATTTTAGGCCAAACCACTGTTATGTATTCAGCACTAGATGTGGCATAATCCTAAGTAGTTGGGTCGAGTCATCAAACTTAAGACAGGGACCTGGTTGAGTATTCTGCATTATATGATTTTCAGGCAACTAACTGACACATACACCTGTGGATAAGAACAAAAAGGAAGGTCTGGAAATCGAGCCGAGTACTTTTGGTCGCCTTGATGGTTCTTATAACTAAGTAGTTCGATAATATACCTTCACCGGATAATTAAAGTTTGGGCTGGTTTGACTCGACTTTGTTGAAATATTTGCGTTTTGCTACTTCTAACTTGAGTGCCAGGCCAGCCACTGCTAACCTTCTCGTCGTCGTTGTCGTCTCCGTCGTCTCTCTGGCTTGATTATTAGAGAGCATCCAACATGCAAACATTTACATAACGAGTGTGGACCTGCATTATTTTCTCGGCTAGTAAAAGCAGCACAAATACTGAGGTAACTTCACTTGTGAGACCGAATTGTGCAAGTAGAATAATAAATGCATTTTTTACACACGGTTATAACCGCGGTTCTGCAATATTCATCTAAATGTCCACTATTGATGCATGCTACGGATTATTATTCTGTAAATTGTGTTACACACATCCTGAGGGCAGAAATTGTAGTTTTATAAAAACGAATTCACTTTTTTTTATCAATTGTGAAATTACTACACTTACCATTTCCTCAGCTTACGTTACAGACACGATTTTATTAAGATAAAATGTGGAGAGGTGCGGTGCGTACTTATTTATTTTGATGCATCACATTATTACCTTTGAAGTTGGGTTAGCATCAGATTGGATTAGGATTATTTTGGGGTTGAGCCGACATATAAGAGACAATTAAGGGATACTTTGTTAGGATGGTGGTAGAGGAAAGCGAGTATAAGCACATAACCAATGTTAACCACAAAAGAGGAGCACACAAAGTGTGGCTGGAATTGCTCTCGTCCTCTCAAATGTGTGTAATTAATTTCATCGAGTTAAGAGTTCCCCTCCGGTCGGGTCAACAGTAATTATTTACCTTCATCCCAACCCCTGACCAAAATGGAGCAGATCCCCAATGGCTGTTGTGGAGTGGAGAGTGCATTTACAGTAGTCAAATTTTTATTTTAACTTTCATTTCATTAAGCCAAAACGCGGTGTAGCTTGTTTTCAGCAAAGACATTTAGTATTCTCGCTCTAAGGACATGTGTATGTACAGGAGTATTTTATAACAAATGACGCCCTGGGTTGTCCTCGCTGTAATAAAATGTGAAGTTCCAACTTCTGTATGTGTTATGGGAATAAATTTCACAGTGGAAAACTAATCTAGATTTTCACGCTGTAGTAGTGACAAAGCTTACGCTGCTCTGACCAGCGAGTAAAAAAAATAATTTTCTGAATTTCCTTTCCTTATACATAAAGTAGTCTGTGCGTCTTTATATTGTGTCATCCACCAGTCGACTGTGACGCTGCTGCTGCTGTCTGTCCATGGTCAGCAAAGCGGAATGGTGTCAACCAAAGTCAACTTTGTCTGATTTGGTTTGGTTAACATCATCGCTTTATCTCTCTCTCCCAAGTTTTCGATTCAGCAGGTAGTCTTTGTTCGTGGCTGGTGTTCTTGGCTGGTACACGGCGCACCGCGGAGTGTATTTCGCTATTGATTTCGTATTCCCTGTGTCCTTTCGTCGTCGTCGAACTTGTTTCCAGTCACATAATAAAAGAGTTGGAATTAATTTATGTACTCAGCAGAACCTTTTAAAAGAATTTGGTCGAGTGGAGACGGGCAAAAGTGGTGTACACGATGCAGCAACTCCCAAGTTAGTGGATGAATTGTTATTCGAATTAACACTAAAAACTAATACTGAGAAGAAGGAGCATAATGAGATTAGAAGACGAGGTGGATTCCATGAGAGTAAATATGTATGAATCCTACACTCGCATTAAAGTGAGACTATGTATTATTATAGGGCGGATGGTGATGGTGAGTAAAAGGTCTGTTGTATAGGAAATTAAATATAAAAGGTCTGGATACATAGAAGAGTTCATGTAAACGAAATGGGATTCATGGCTCAGTGGCTGGTCAACTGGAGAGAGTGTTTCATGACCACAAATCGATTGCACAATTAACTTTTATCTTCTTGGGAGAGCTGCATGTACTGTTGGTTATTGGTTTTGCTGGATTTGGATTTTGGCTTCATGACTGACTCGAGAGTAGTCGAGAGTCTCCTTCATGAAATATTCATTGCATTTCCATTACTTTACATTGCCTTTGAGCTAAAACCTAACCGATTCCGCCCGCTCTACAACTTTCTTTTCAGTCCACTTCTTGATATTGAATTGGGAAACGGTGATCGTCCAATAAATTCAAGATAATGGAGCAACTTGCTTATTTCGATGCGATTTTTTCCCCTGCGCTCTTTGGTGTTGGTCTTTCATAATCCAAACAAGTTATTTGTAGCGTCGTATTCCTGATTGTGCAGGGTGAAGGGTTGGTGGGCTGTGTGGTGTGATGCATGCACGTATTTATGTGTGTGCAGATGACCTTCGCTGCTTCGTTAATAAACTATCATCGTCAGTTACTGGTACTACTGTAAATTCTTAATCAGCATTATTAACAAAGTAATTTTTATGGGGAGATATATTTACATATTATGTACATACATTACATGAATATGTTAATTCTAGTCAATGCTAGTAAAGTTATGTAGCAATTCAATACCCACACACACTATTAGAAACTGCAGTTAGGAAGACAGTTAAAGTCTATTTTCCATTTTCATTTAAAACTTGCAGTTTCCTTGCTCCATAATAATAATAATAATAATATGTGTTTGTAGTCAAATATAATAATGCAAATAACAGCAGTTGAGTTGTTCTGTCTGGTCTATTTGCTGAGAGATCAAAGTGGAATTGATGGGAATCTATAAAAGCTGATTTAATGGGGGGCTGACGTCAACCACGATGCGATATAACATTTACTAGCAGCTCACCATCAAGTCAAACATTTCATCCACACAGAGTTGTTTTAGTTGGCAACAAACGTTGTCACTTTTTCCTATTGAAACATGCTTCAACTTGTTTCAGCAATGTTCATGCATAGATTCGCATATTATTCTAATTAATACTGTGACCAAATGTCGCTTTAATTGATCATAAAAATTCACTCATAAAAATGCCGAAATTAATGTTAAAAGTGGTGATGGTGATGGTGGTGCCCTACTCAAATCCACTCGAGAGCACTTGCATACGCTTTTGTTTAGAGAGAGATAAAAACTCTGCTCAACGCAAGGAATTCTACAGATTCATAAAATACTGCATCCGTGCGTTGGATGGAAATCCGTGGGATGGAATACAGCTAAAAAGTTAGAAAACCCATTTTTTTGTTGCGTAGGCTGTACAACTCGAGTATATAAACTGCGAAGTTTAGCTCGTATTGAATAATTTGGGCAATATCTGTTATGTACAGATCACGAGAGAGAGAGTTATAAGTAGGCTCTGTCTGATTTGCTCCTCTCGCGATGAAAATCTGACAACAAGGCCGACTTTGTATGCGCTATAAAAAGTGGAATACAATTAAACAATGCAATCAACAATGAGAATCACCAAACAACATGAGCAGAGCATATGGCATTGTGAATATGCACAGTCTTGTGAATTCACTGAACCAGAATTCTTACTTTATTAGACGACTCACTGGACTTGGTATGAACATACGTGCAGCTTTGCTCTTCGGTAATGATATAATACCTTCGTGTCTGCCTGAATTCACTTTTGACCACCTACTTATGTACTTGGCTACATAGGTAGAGATTGACATTGCATTGCATCCATTGCGTATTAAATTGGCCTTTTCTTAATGGGCGTCCATCACCAAATATCATTTATTTCTGCTCAGACGGAGCATCAGGAATAGGATATTATTTACAAAACATTCCACCACCACACCACCACTACCTCACATATCTACGTAGGAAAATATACGTGAGGTGATGTCTAGTGCTGCGACGAGTAATGTATCGCTGCTTTCTTGCATCACAAGAAGGTCATACGGAATGATCTTGAAGTAACCTTGTGTGTGGTGCAGGTTTACCTATCTCTCCTCTCCCCGCTTCTTCCTCCATTGGTACATGACTATTATTATTATTATGACAACGGCTACTATTACGGTCGTGATGGTAGATAGCTCCCATTATGCATTATGCCGGTAGTAGTTGTCAGTTCAAGTGGTGGTAACTTTACCGCACACACAGCAATTACCCACCTCGGCGCAACGCATCTCACCACCACTACATATGTATGGATGTGCATACACACCACTTTTGGCACTGCATCAACAGTCATCCTACTTATCTGTAGTATTATTATGACAAATAGATAAGCATTCGCCAAAATCAGTTGCATTATCAGTTCACCTCCTGATTGAAGAGGGAATTTAGGAGGAATTTTGTGGCCTGATTACGAGATGACGAAGAGATCATTCTATTTCCTAAAACTGATTTTTTATAGACTTGATGTTGTTTGGAGTCCAGTGAAGCACACCGCCACCAACCACAAGCACCCATCCATTCCATAATATTTCGTTAATCACATGCACGTCGTAGTAAAATATAAGCTCAAGGTGAAATTAATAACGAATTGGGCATCATGGCACAAAATCATCAGGATGAAATCAAAGGGGGACGTGGTTCAGATTATTATGCTTCCTATCCTCTTCCCTTATTGTGCAAGGGTCAATTTTTGCACTCCAGTACAAAAAAAATAATGACAAAGTACTCAAAGTTTTCTTATGTGTCGAGATAAAACTAGGATTTAAAAGCCACATTGACGCAATTTTTAGTAATTCGTATTTTCGACATCTGCTGAACAAGCGGAAATGAGCTGAAAATTGGAAAAGTTAAAAAGTTGGTTGTTATACAATCTGTACACAAGAGGAGAACGAGTAAATATAATTTTGTGTAACATCCAAGTGTGAAAATTTGAGAGGATTGTGCATTTCATGGCCGATGGCTATTGAGAACTTTGTCTTATTCTTTGCCGCATTACACGTACGAACAAACACAAGTGAGGACTATTTGACCTTATGTTCATTCTCCTGATTTCCACACCAGCATGACTTTTTTTGGAGTACTAAACTGCGCGAACCATTGATTGGATATATTAAAGAATGCTGTAAAAGGCATCCGGTTGTTCGGATCGTGTGCTCCTAAATGGATGCAGACAGTTCATAAGAAAGCATATAAAAAAGAGTTGAGAATGAGCAGAAGTGGCAAAGAGTCGGGTCGGTGTGGGGTAAGAAACTATATAGTACATGGTTGAAAAACTCGGTTCTTCGGGTTCTTTCAAACTTTTTTGCAACGACTAAAAGCAAAAATGGTTAAGTGGAAAAGTCTGCGACACTTTCTTTGAAAATGTGACTAAACTCGTGGGTTATTTAATCAGCTCAAAAGTGACTTGTTTAGGATACGTATTAACGGTATTAAAAGAAGGTGCAGATAAAAAATGTGTAAATTTGAAAAGAAACTTCTTAAGGTTGAATACTTATTTATTATAAACGATAGTATTTATCTGATTAACTTCACAAAATAACTAAATTATCTGGGAAGAGAGGTTCACCGCCCTCACTCACAATTAATGCGGACAAATATATTTGTCAAGAGCTATCCACTTTGGATTTTCCTTAAATTCTGAGAGAGGACGATGGTTTTCTGAGTGAACTGTTCGCCCTCTCAATTATTCAGGCTTTGACCTTTATTTAATTATTGACAAATTTAAGGAGAAATTTTATAAAATTGCTAATTCTTAAATGTCTATTTTTCAGGTGCTGAAGATGTCGATGGGCAAAGTGAAACGGATCGAGGACCCCGAAAGTTTTCTGAGAAGATCGGTCTTGATCAATAACACGATAAAGATTCTCCAGAAAGAAGTTCGTGATGAGAAGATGATGCGTCATGGGGGCAGCTACGCGTCCAAGTCCTCCTCGTACAGGAAAAGTTTCGCTTGCTCCCGACTCAACGAAATGCATCTCTCCGTCGTGGATGAACCAGACACGGAAGAGCACTCAAGTCTACTTATGGACACTGACGATGACGCCTCCCGCTCATCCCCACTGGACAATCTTGTCATCAGGTAACACATTGTTTCATAGATCTCATTAGCATCCTTTACTGAGAGCTTTTATTCCTGTGATATTGCATAAGAAATCAATAGGCTATATGTGCATACAAACATATTGACATTAGATTAACAAGTTTTAGCAATTACAGTCAATACAACTAAATATGAAGTTCATAGCTTATTTCTTAAGATTATTATGTAGGATAGTCTGGTTTTTTTTTCGCGACATTTTCATTAAACTTGGCATATTCAAATATGTACCAAGTATAACAACCGTTTAGAGTATACTTTTTGTAAATTTCAGTAAGGACCACCACAACACCCCCTCCTTGCTGAACTCCAGAAAACGATCCTTGAACCAAGATGACTCTGAAGAAGACTGTGATGTACAAGATGTGCTCAGTCAGATCTACGTTCCCCCCACGCCTTGTATCATTTCTAGCATTGATGAGGACGAAGCCATGCTTTCCGGAGTAAATAATCCTACCCCATCCACCTCCGCACAAGCAGCTCGAAGTATTTGCAGCAGCAGCAGTAGCAGCAGCAGTAGTATCAACAATTGCATCGGTGTAGTTGACCCATTGGAAGGGCTCACTTCCTGTGAACCTCCTCGGAAAAAGTGTAGGCTGGATGGAGATGATGAGGACGAAGAAGACGGCGAGGATGAGGATGAAGAGGTGGATGCCACTTCTTTTCTCGGTGCCGTGAGTCAAGATTGTTCCTTGGATGATGACGTTGACGTGGATGTCGACGTTGTGGGCGATAGCGAGTTAAGTGACTGGCCCACTCCTCCTGCCCCGATTATACCACCACCTACGTCACTTTTACTCTCCTGCTCGGATGGCATAATTCCCAGTTCCAGCATGATGATGCTTTCTCCATCCGTGACGTCACCCTTGTCAATGTCGTCACTCCTCTCTTTCTCCTCCACGGCTTCACTCCACTCTGATTCACTGTGTTCCTCCTCAATTTCATCCCTCAACTGTGATCGGAGCAGTATTTTAAACACGTCCCCTTATGCAACAGGCTTGGGTCGTGTAACTCACCTGCTGAGTGATAATGCCTGCTCCGACTTTCCTCTCATGGTCGACATTCCTCCAGCAACAAGAGACTCCTCCGACAGTTGTCCCTCGCCATCGCTGACCGTGTCAACTTCCTCCTCCTTGTCTCCCACCATCATGTCACCCTCTGCCATGTGCAATGGACTAATGAGCCCACTCGTCCTTCCTTGCGCCCCCACAGGACTCTCATTGCCCCTGCTTTCACCCACCACCATGTCAATCACCAGCCCACCGCAACACCACTGCTCCAGCTCCTCGGAAGAGTCAAACTCTGGGGACGATGAAGACATGCTACTTTCATCATCGGAAACCAAGGAGAACTGTTCGCTCCATCTCTCACTCCCATTGTCCGGACTTCATTCTCCTCTCGTTGACCACAACTCCAGGTCGTCCAACAGTGGTGGTGACATATCGGCCAGCAATGGTGGTGGTTATGTTAATGGTATCAACGTAAACGCGTCATCCATCAATGGTAACAACGCTGTCATTAATAATAATAGTAATATTAACTCATCATCATCATCAACGGGCAACGTCAACTCTTCTTCCGAGATGGAAAAGAACCAACAGTACTCATCATGTGGACACTCTTCAATATTTGGAGAATTACAGTCTGTTGTGTTTCATAGTCTTATTGCATCACTGGAAACGTAGCAAGTAGGTTATGAGCAAACCACGTTTTTTGAACATTGAAACTGTACAAAATGTCGATCGGTAACGAAAGAAAAAAATAGGTTGCATTCAAGTATCATAGGTTTTGCTATTTATCAATATAGATATGTAAATATGATGTCTATATGTATGGTCGCAACTCCTCTAGACTCCAGTCTAACTTAACTTGGACAAGTGGTGTAACGATTTGACCGACTTAGAATCAGCACAACTAACCAACAAATTGTTGCGTAGAAAGTCTACCGTGTATTAAATGGTTGATATTTGAAACTTTTGCGGTCATTTTCTTGCTACCACAAGTCTGTCACCTTCCTGCCTGCTACAATTATTATTAGACCATAGTCTGAAAAAAAACCGGAAAGAATGGGAAATAGTAAGTCCCACTTAATAAGTAAGAACAACCTGTTATTGTATTTGTAACATATGTGTGCTAGCTATTCAATTATCGAACTTCGTCTGTTCGCTCCTCGTTATAAATACATACTTATATCTCGTTCGTTATCGTCGTCGTCATACATATTACTAGTAATCTACTTGTTCATATTGTGGTTGTCGAAGTTTGTGATAGTTTAATTTAATAGAGTAACCTTAAAGATATGTCGTTAGTTATGCTAATCGTATACACTTAATCGTAGGTCAAGTCGATATCGGTTTTCAGAGTTTAAATGCCCATATACACACACAACACAGATCTTGATTTATGCGTATCCTTATTTCGTTCCTCTCAAGTTCAGTTATTCTCATAATAAGACTATTAATACATATATTTAAAAAACCACAAGAATCGAATTCGTCATCAAATTGATAATACCAGGATTTCTCATTATTCAACAAAACCATAAAGTTCATGGACCACAATAGTTTGTTAATTTTTGGCCCATTAAATTTTCACCTCTATAAAACTCTTAACTGCCAAAAGTACCATACCAAATTGGCCGGTGGTCATTCAATCAGCCGTTCGCACTCATTATCATCATCTTATCATCATCATCTCTTGTAAATTAGTGTGTATGTTATTTAGTACAACGCGAAAGGAAACCAATTTGGTAGCAAGATTTTTAGTGAAAGACGAGTAATATACATATTATTACATACCTGCAGCTGTTAGTCCTTGAACAGTTTTATGAATATTTGGATAATGTATAAATTCGCGTGAGAGGTAGCTCTTGACTTGATTGCGACCGATCGAATAACGCCAGATGTGCATTTCCCACTGTTAATAGTATTGATATATTGAATGTATTAGGTGAGACTGTTGTGCAAACCTTACTTGTGTAGCAGTGTGTGCTTTGTCTCCTGCAAATAACATAAGTAAGTTTGGATCACAAGTACTAAATACATATACATACGGCTAAATAGGTAGGTGTAGAATTGTACCACATGAGGAAACTGCTTAAAATAATTTACTAAGGTCATAAGATAGCTCACTACATTATAAAATTATTATTATTATTATTATGCTATGTGGATAGCAGTGCCGGATAAAATGACGCATACATAAAGTGACCCTCTACATACATAAGTACATATAGTTGAGAGTGATGCTATTACGATAAGAATGTAGAAATTTGCATAAGTCTTGTAACCATCGTTCTGTACTCATAATTAATAATAAAAAGTATCACCAACTGAGTCTAGGCAGTGGTAATAATGATAGTTCTACATACGAGCAAAGTATAAATATACAACTCAAGAGGCAACGCCAATGATGCCAATGTAATTAGTAGGTGGTAATGAATCAAGAGTTAGATGCATTGCAGGAAATGAGATGCAACTATCGACGACTCAGATCACTAGTGATGTCGCCTCTTCTATCCACCTTAACCCATACTAAGCAGTAAGTTAAGGATAAATCTGTGGGTACGTACATACATATGCAGGTTAGTTTTATGGTGATACCTTTAGTGATAATGAGATAACGATGCCTAAATTATTATTTATAGTTCCAAAGGTCGAATCAGAGATATCTGATGATTCCTCATTAACGTACGGCTATTACAGACAGATATATGTTCATCGTTATTGTAGACAATTTACTAATAATTCATCACAGCACATGGATGATTGATTTCAAAGACTTCATCTCTCGGGTGGTTCTTGTGTGAAATGAGACTAGACTTTTTTTCAAACTTGACGGAACTGGGGAATATAAAATGTCGGATAAAACTATGGACTAAACAAAACGTACACACCGTAATTAATATTATCACGCACACTAGATTATCCACGTTTATCTTTAAATGCTTCAATAAATGACACACATATATACACACACATACAATGTGTAAAGGACAGTGTTAAACATGGTACAAATACGATTCAAGTAGACAAGTCCTTTCAAACCTTTATCTATCCCCAGCAAACACTAATTCATTCATTTTCTATAGACTTTTCCTTTCCGTTACCATATAATAATGTTATTGTCCTCGTTATATGAACTGATTTGGTGATGATTGATATAGGGCTTTGAGTTGTTGATCCCAACAGAACTGAAATTAATCGAGCTATTTATTCCTGTGTTGGAATTCATTCTCTGTCTCACCACAACATTAATTAATAATATTTTATATTAACGCGTACGAGATTTTCTTTCCCCTGCTTATCCACTAAATAAATACATGTATGTATGCAGTACTGTCTGACTATGTAGCAAATGCTGCTGCGAAAGAAAAAACAGGAACAAGTAGAACTCATATATTCACTCTTGCCTATTAGAAAACGCTTGTTATTAGTCGCAAGTGTTGCCACACTCAGATATAAACCATGCCTTACCTTACCTTTCCTGATGAAATAGCTTCACTTTTTTGGAACAAGTTCAAAAGTCAATGTCGTATAGGAGATAAATTTGTTATTCGTGATGGGAAGCATGCATATGTACGAGTCATATAAATATATAGCTAACAGGCTTTCCGGTTTATGTTTCCCTTTAATTGCTATCACTGTAACTGTCCAATGAGCAGCGTTCTTAAGACAGCCATCATCAACTTACATACATATTGGATATCGGTAGACACAAACATATACATGCGTACATACATACACAAGATGAGTTTCAGACTCATCAAGACTACAATGCTGGACAAGGGTACATTTATTTATTACATAGAAAGGACCATTCATGATAATTTACAGTTGAAATTGACCAACAGATTGTGTATGTACTTGGCTTGAATGATGTTACGTACTCCTCAATTCATACCTTATTAGAAATATATGTACTACATGGAAAATGCAAATAGTTTAAAGTTCATAATATACACGAGATTTACAGTCCGAAAAGCTAAAAAACATTACAGTCATCCATTAATTTCAACGTATAATGTATTCTAGTGACTTGATAATAACCATTCAGCTACATATAACGAGTGAATATAACGCGTGGTGGGTGCATGTTTTTGTTGGCCACTAATTACCAACTTCCTCATCGGTTACCTAACTTTGCCGCAACTAAATAATAAATATATGCTGTCACCCAACTACTATATTAATTAATTAATTAATTAATTAAATATATAAATACCGATATCGAATCAATACTTGACTTACGATTAGTTTAATTTTTTGTTATCATCATATCCATACAGTTTCACACTTAATAATATTTAAGGATCATCATAATTTAAGACATAATATAAAATTATAATAAGAAGATGAATATTATTATTCTCTTTTGTTTTGCAAAAAAAATATTAATCGTGACCATAAAAGTCTGTTTGTTTTCTATAAAGTCCTTTCAACATAAATATTTGTTGTATATGTGATCAAGTTTTCAAACTCAAATGGAAATGTGCATTTGTGTACTTTTTGTTTTATTTTTCAAATCTATGTAATCTAGATTGGTACTACTTTACGGTAGAAACTTGATTATAACTTAACCCCGAATTTCTTTCAGAATCCTGTGCACGTCGTTAGTTAATTGGCACAGTGGTCGCAAACGATGCCTATATTGGTTCGGATATATTTTATGTGCATACATACATATGTTATATTTATTGTAGCAAATAAACTGCTTAGAACTTTAGAGATTACTTATACGCTGTACAACTGCAATTAAGTTAAGAAAACTTTGTAAAATGAAATGACGGCATTCGTGGAAGCATGAACAAAAATGTCACTCCGAGTAGCACGATGAATGTACACATACAGGTCGCATGGAAAGTTGTACGATACTAACATTTAATCAAAGGAGATAAAACATCAAAACCAAACAGAAAATTAATCAATATACTGTTAGTTCAATATGAAGTATGTAATGTTATACATAACTCGATGATGGTTATTATATGATACGTTACAAATACGAATAAAATGAAAAATATCAAAATCGGTCTTGTCCAATTTTTACTCTCGTTTAAGGTGGATCATCACTTGCATTTTAATCATCTTCATAAAAGAATAGCCAGCCTTGCAGTGAGAATAAAACAAACAACGACGATTTAGCGAATACAAGTTTGGTCAAAGATTTTCCAATGAAATTTTTTCATATACATTTACGTGTACTTACATTTACCTATAAGAATCGCACGACATAACGACAGCATTAAAACTGAAGACTTTTAAAATGGTTACGCAATTAACGACATCAGCATGCGAAAAAAACTGATTTTCTTTGCTGACGGAAATTTGAGAGAAACTTGAATTCATGAAGCATCACCACAGTCAACCTACACATGCATACATACATATTATGTAGATACGTACATCTCGCCTGCACTTGCACTTGGCTAACGTGATTTGCATAGAAGGAGAAGAAAAGACGTTTGAGGATGGAGCAGTGAAATAAAAGAATGCACTTTAGGTAGAGATTATCATCTTATTATTCAGCAAGCATGAGGATTAAGCATAGCAGGACTGGATTATAATAAATAAGATTATCCTCCATTATAAAACTCCACTCTCTCTGCCCATGCCACTCGCTTCATCGTCTCTTTATAGGAACGAACGGGGCAATTATTGCCCGCTTTGTGTATACCGATCAGAATCTCATCGTCGTGTTATCATTTTCATCGTGTTTGAAATTTAAATGGTACCTTGATTAGATTCTGTTTTGTGCCAACGGATTGCAGACAATCAATTCAATACCTCCACTGTCTTCTTCTTTAAACAAATAATTCCTCTTGCATCCACATATTGAATTACACTCCTGAGTTGTATTGAAATTTAACTGCGTTTACTTCACTCAAATATAATGCCATTGCCACCTCGATAACTATACAGTTGAGAGATGAAGGGTAGCACCGAATCTACTCTGCAAATGTACTCTACATGTGTACACAAATGTATGCAGATAGTCGTATGATTTGGCGTCATTTGGGTTTAGGTTAGAACATTGATCAGGTAAAATGAAGAGCTGTAACATTTGCATAGAGCATTTACTGCCGACTGTGGAATATCGTGTTGTAGAGCAGCAAAGCTAGAATAACATTATTACGGTGCAAGAACAAAGAATGAGATTTTATCACCTCCTGATCATCACCACCATCTCCAACACGGCATGCAGGAGCTAGTTAGCTGGCACGTCGTATCCGTCTCTCTGCGTCTGTATTCATGTTATTCTTCTGTGTCGTACTACAATTTAGGTGACTCGATTAAACGCGAGACAACCAAGGAGTTGTTACCCAATATTAGAAAGCAACTAGTCACACGCGCTGCCGCATTTAATTAGCAGTTATTTCCATGTCTTTGGTGCCACTTGCAAGAATGAAATGTCAGTTTCCGCATTTGAATCAAATGTGCACCTAGAATAGTATGGGTTGCATTTATAATTTTATAATGAGACTTGTGTATGCATACAAACCACAAAATTGTAAAGTGGTTGTGTGCATACACAAAGTATTCAATGACAGCCAACTTTTAAAAGGATTATTACTTGCGTACTACTTGAATATTTTGAGAAGTGGTATTTGGCACTATGTTGCAAAAATTTCTAAAGTCTGATTTTTATAAACTTTATTGCCAAAGCTAATTTCATATTTCAGTGATTATTCAACAAAATATAGCAATTTTCAGCCTGAGTATGCTGCATTATTAAAAATATACATTTCAACCCAGTTCAAGGTTTAAACTTAAAACTTACGAAACTGAGCCCTGTAATAATAATAACTCAGTTCCGCTAATGCATATTTTATAGTCACTTATTATCTGACAACCTGAATGCTATGCTAGATATTCATATGAACAGTTTAACCTTCAACTTTTGAGCTAAGTAAATACATACATTCTTGAATATCAGTTTAGACCATTTCACAATATTGTGTAGAACATACAGTGTCGGACAGATGTCTACGTCCACATAGTCGCGTCAATTTCATTTTCAAATTGTCACTGAACTACTGAACCAATTTTCATCATTGATATATCAAATTCTCACAAATTTAACATAATTTCATAAAACATATGAGTTATTTCTGAAAATTCTGGGAAAACTGAGAATCATAGTGCAGAGCGAGAGAGGATGAAATTTGATCGGACAAAAGTCTACGTCCACTTCACTTTAATTGTTAACAACAAAAATCTCTCCAATTTATAAAATCAGGTAACTTAATAAATCTATCAATAACATATGCCGCATTAATTTTTAAATAATTTTCTTCCAGAAAAATATGATGGCGTCGACACGCAAGGAAATTCCTATCGCTATTCGAGATCTTGTCATTCAGGACTGGAAGGGTGGACAAAAAGGGGGGCTGTCGCAGAGACAAATAGGGACCAAGTATAAATTAGCAAGGACAACCATCCAGACAATCATTAAGAACTTTAGAGCTAATGGTTCAGTCCAAAACAAGGTCAGAAGTGGTCGAAAACCGATTTTGGCTCACCGAGAAGTACGCCACGTGCTCAACAAAGTCAACGTTACACCCTCACTTAGTGCTCCAAAGCTATCTACCGAGATCAAGGAGATGTTCGGCAAACAGGTTAGTCCTATGACCATCCAAAGAACACTGAATAAGGGAAATTTGAAATCCCACAGAGCAGTCCGGAAGCCTCTTATTGTACCGAGGAATGCAACCAAACGAGTGAAGTTTGCCAGAGACCACATTTCCAAGCCACAAACATTCTGGGACAGATTTTATGGACTGACGAGTCAAAGTTCAATGTCTTTGGGTCAGATGGGCGTCGTAGAGTGTGGAGATATCCAAAAGAAGCATTGAATCCAAAAAATCTCAACCCCACAGTTAAGCACGGCGGCGGGTCGGTAATGGTGTGGGGATGCATGGCTTCAAGTGGGGCAGGAAAAATGGAATTTGTTGACGGAATTATGGACCAATACAAGTACCAGGGAATACTTGACCGTAATATCCAGGAATCTGTTCGAAAACTTGGACTTGGACGACGATTTGCCTTCCAACAAGACAACGATCCGAAACACTCTGCCACGTCCACCATGGAATACTTCAAGAAAAAAAAATTCCGAAGCTAGAATGGCCTCCCCAATCTCCAGACTTGAATCCCATTGAGCATCTGTGGGACCACATTGAAAGAGAAATAAGAAAAAAATCTTTTTCAGGAATTCCGGGCCTAAAATCCAGAATTCGTGAAGTTTGGGAAACCATTTCTGAAGATGTGACCAAGAATTTGGTAAACTCTATGACTCGACGCCTTGAAGCCGTCCTTAAAGCGAACGGAGGCCCAACCAAATATTAAAAATTAATTGTTATAACATTCCTTATAAATTACAGTTTTTTTTGTATGTTTTCTATGACTGGACGTTGATTTTTGTCCATCCAATTGTTTTCATTTTGAATTAAAATACATCTCTGGCCTAAAATAAATTTTTTAGCGGAAAACTAATAATGTGCTATGAAATTACGTTAAATTTGTGAGAATTTGATATATCAATGATGAAAATTGGTTCAGTAGTTCAGTGACAATTTGAAAATGAAATTGACGCGACTATGTGGACGTAGACATCTGTCCGACACTGTACATACATAACCCAGACAAGACTAGAAGTATTTTTATTGCGGCTACTGAATTATTGCATGGATTCTTTACTTACCCAACACTCACAAAGTTTATCACCAGAAAACGTTGCAAGGAGTTTTATTATTATTAATAGTCCACCATTAATAATAACTTGTCCTTATTACACAACCAGATTTTAAGCGTCACAGTTTAATATATTCATATTAAAAATCATTATTCCTAGCAGCCAACTTGACGTATTAGCACATGATAATAATAAGAGGAATATGTTTTCATGTACTTAAATTACATTCCATTTCTCTAATCCAATCGTAATTTGCGTGACTTTTACAAGGACGGTTGCACGCATCAATGTTTAGCAGTGATAGGAGCATTTCTTGGCAAACTAACCAAGTGCGCATTGACATCTAATACAAAATTGTTTAAGTGTTGAGCATAAATGTAAAACCATTTTTCAATTACGTGTCAGAGCAACATAATAATCTTAAAATAAGTTTTGAGACTTGATTGTCATCGCCATGCTGCAGGGCTCGAGCCTTTGCGTACACATTTCGTCAGGCCAGAAGTGGAGTTCCACTTGCTATGATTCCTTTAAGAAATGGAGTGAATATTCCGGGGAAGGTTTGGCCCCACTAAAAGGCGAGGAGGCAAGTATAAGGGCGACATTGCTCACTCTAGGAAGGAACTGAATCAAATTACATTATGATAATGACGGTGGTCGTGGGTCTGTCTTGTGACTCAGTGACAGCTGACAAAGTTGGCTGCTGGGTCCCACAAGACCCACTACTTGCCCAACTTTATCCGAATCTGTCCTCATCATAGAACCTCTGAAATGAAACCGACGACTACTGGAAATGACAGATTCCTTGGCCCAAACCCCACAAGCACCACGCCACGTATTTAAAGACGGCATCAACTGGAAAATTGTGTACGTTCTACATGCACCCCATGCATCTCAACTAAAATGTAGCATGTACGATCCGAAAATTATTTAATAATATGTCAATATCAAATATGTTTTAAAAAATACTAGAGTTGACAGTTTTACAAATATGTTTAGCAACGTCAAGCATTTAGATAAACACTGCATCGAGGTCGAGTTTTTAATACTACGTTGGAATTACTTTACCTGATGATGCCATTATCAAACCAGAAAGAATAGTCGTCCTCCTACTATCAAAGCAAGGACAAAATGCAATAATATCATGTTTTCCTGCAATTTTCTAGTCAGCTTCATATAGGCATATCTAATAACATGAACCTCACTTCAGCTTAACTACACTTTGATCAAGCATGTACAGTGTACACCCATTTAATACTTCAAAATTTTATCGTGCCCTTCTTATACATAGTCATTTCAAATGCAATTTTGCTGCCACTATTTATCCATCTATACAT